TTAATTTCTATTTTTTTGCATCTTTTTCATTTACCTTTAGTAAGAAACTACTGAGAGGAAAAAGTTAGAAAGGAATATAAGGAAAAAAACAAATTTATTGACTTAAAGGCACAGATACCATACGCTATTGTTCCCTGAACCCCTAGATATGCTAATACTCTGACTATATAATGAAGTTTTTAGCCATTAATTCTGGTTGACTAGGAACAGCTACTTTCTTAACACAGTCCTAATTATTTAATGCTTCCCGGAATTGATCAACACTCCTCCCCCCCCCCCCAAGTTTTTAGTTTACAAAAGCAATCAGTTTATTTTCAGATAAATTGAAGCTAATAAAAACTTAAAACTCAACAAAAATAATGATAACAAGTTTTAACTTGACAAATTTCACAAATCGCATCACATAACCTTCTCAACCAACAGCTTGTAATGAGATGGATGACAAGGACTGAAACAGTAACTCAATTACACAATAATGAGCTCATGTAAATATCGACTTTCAATTGAACAACAATTCAAACTTTATCAAACAACTTATCACCGACCTTAAGGACGTGATTTGTCACAAAATTTCAAGCTTTACAATAAACTTATTGTTAAACCTCTTTTTGGAAAACTAGCTCTTTCTCTCCCTACACTACAAGTTCAAAGGGTTACAGCAATGTGAAAATCTTTGGCAAAGAACCGATCAGTAGAACAAAACGTGGAGAGGTACACTAACTACGTGGGTTGAGGACCAGCCAACTATGTATGACTCTCTAGGTTATGAACTTCTAGAAATCTCAACCTCTCTTGGATCACAGCAAAACATCTTATTACCACTGATGACTTGCTCTGGATCACACAACCACCATCACATGTAACAAGTTGAAAAAAGTACCTTACAAATTAGGAGGCCACACCAGGCTGGATTTTATGATGATTGCAAAATAGAGCCTCTTGTGACATTGATATAGCATGACAAAATAAAATTAGGTAAATAGGAAAAAGAAAAGAAAGAATCCATCCACAATTATGTGGATTAGCAACAAGTATAATCGCAAGTTTTCACATTCAATCAATAATATCATATAAGTACTAGTAATGCAGAATTCGGGATCAACAAATGCATCCAAAACCTATACATAAATTTAGCATGCAAACTTAAATTTTTAACTAAAACTCTCCTACT